ATATATATATATATATGTATATATATGTATATGTATATATATGTATATGTATATGTATATATATGTATATGTATATGTATATATATATGTATATGTATATGTATATATATATGTATATGTATATATGTATATATGTGTATATATGTATATGTATATATATATATGTGTATATATATGTGTGTATACATGTGTGTATATATATGTGTGTATATATATGTGTGTATATATGTGTGTATACATATATATATATGTGTATATATATATATATGTATGTGTATATGTATGTGTATATATATGTATGTGTATATATATGTATATGTATATATATGTATGTGTATATATATGTATATATATGTATATATATATATGTATATATATGTGTATATGTATATGTATATATATGTATATGTATATATATATGTAAATGTATATATGTATATACATGTAACATACATATATGTATATATATGTATGTTACTCTCAAAGGTAAAACAAAAGCATTTTCTTGATGCAGATCTGAGTCAGGGGGTGGGCATTAAAATGGGTCGGAAGGCTAAACTTAAATTTTGATGTAACAGTGAGGGCCGCGGGTCGCAACAAAATCTAAGTACTCAAGAACATCCAGTAGTAACTTACTTCGGACTTGATATTGAATGTCGTAAAATCAATGTCTGTGTTTGAGTTAGGAATATTCTTCATACTACAGCTGTTTTTATTAATGCAACATGACTGCGGAATATCATTCTCACTGTAATAGCTTGTATTTCGCCAATCCAATGGACCATTCACTCCACAACACGACAACTTTATAAATAATCAAAGATAACTTTAATATTTTATAACTATTACTTACAATTAGTACAGTATTCATAATTGCTTTTATTTTAATTGGAAATATATAATTGTTTTCAAAAAGTCACGGATGACCACTTCAAATGGCATAGGCCTGAGGTCAAATACTTACATCATTTTGTATGGTATCAATCGCCTTTTTAACCTGGTTGTCGCTGCCATATTTACTGAGAGATTCCGGCATTTCTAAAAGATCAAATATAACTAAACATATTGTCCCATTCCAAAGTCTATTAATGACCATATATGATTTTTATATGCAAGCTTTGTTACAATTGTGCAAGTGGGTAATAGCAAAGAGTATAGAAAAAAGAGGTTCGACTGCTCTGATTTTGTATGCACGCAATTAAAAGTTTAAAAACAAATATTGCCAAAAGGTAGGGGCGTCCTATTAGAATTCGAATAGAGTTAATTTTTCTTTATGAGGACACGCCCCTTCGTGGCAGTATTTTTTGAAATAGGATTACGTTCCAACGAAACCAGGGGAGTCGGACCTACTCTTTGGTAATAGTATATTCTTAATCATGGCCTCCCTTTAACTATGCGGAGTAACCTTTGTTTGCATAATCAGTGCATCTGTTGATTTCCTCCCATGAACATTTTTTTTTTTCTCCAATGGACTTACTTTTTTTGATTAGTGTTTCAACCTCTGTTTGCTTAAAATATGCAAAGAGCCCGCCACCAACTTCGAGAATACAAATCAACATCAGGAACATAAAGAACTGGGGTAATAAAAACAAAAGATATATAAATGAGGTTCCATGCTAGCTCGTAAACAACTGAAAAAATACAATAAACACTTAAATTAGGATGGTGATGCAATACGCCAGGCCAATAATTAGCTTTACTCTCAAAAGCCCAGCCCAGACAAAAATAATGTGATACGCCTAAATGTGGTCATGATGACATCACACCGTGACCATATATAGGCACGACATGACTCTACACATGGTAGGCCCGTAGCGTGACTTAATTTGTGGGAGGTTTGTTTCAGTGGAAAGTGGACCATTTGGAAACCATTATACAATAACGTAATATTGTTAGCTGGGAAAGCTTAAGAACTGCCGACTGGAAATACTTCTGGATTGTATGATCCCTGATACTCTGGAGAACATATATATAAATCTACGAATATCAATTATTCGTTTTTAAATGCGGACCTTCTCCAATTTTTGGGCGGTTCGTCGTAACTCCCTTAACCCCCCACCCCCCGCTACGGACCTGCATGGGCATACAACAGTCTTTTGTCAAAGAAAATGTGAGTGTGGACAGCGCTTTATATGGAATATACGCACATTATAAATTATTATATTATGCTTATCAAATTGTATAGAATACTGAAAATGTACATCCAGTAAGTACTACTGAGCTACTTAAGTTCAATATTATAATACTGTATACATTGCTTTATACTCAGGGGCGGATCCACGTGCCCCTCCCCCGTCTTGCCACTAAATTTTAAAATTTCAAGGCATAGGCCTATATTGAAATTAGCGCTCTTACTTATCTATTCAGAATATGTTGTGAGCACCCCCCCCCCCCGTTTGAAAAATTCTAGAGCCTCCACTCGGGTTAAAACAGTGGTGTGGCGGCCGAGGTCCCCGACGAGTGGGAGGGGGTGGCGATGTCCCCGACGAAAAAAAGTGGTCGTGGTCGGGCTTCGCTCAAAACCTCTCGAAAGTGTTCCAAGGGCTTCGAAAAATATAACAATTTAGGGGTTTCTAAGGCTTATTTAATCGATTTCAGAGTGTACCAATATATGTAGAAAATACATACATTCTTTTTCTCCCCGACGAATTGTGGTTCTTCTTTCCGACGGGGGCCCTTCCCCCACCCCCTTCTTGCGCCACCCCTGGGTTAAAAATAAATTTAATAATACAAATACAATTCTTCTAGCATGTATGATGTTGGATAACGCATTGTGTTGTACAGTGTTGACGCGTTTTATTCTACAAAGTTAACTTACAGTACATAACAAACAAGTATTTTCGAGACAAGATCCACAGCATCCTAAGAAGCCAATCAACATCATTAATCCACCAATTCCGATGAGAACATACACTGCGATGTAGTATTCTTCTAGCTCTTCTGCTGCGTATGTGTACTCACGCACTGTGGGATCGAAACAGAGCCACAGGCCTACACAAAGAAGCGCACATCCGCATAACTACAAAAATAAATATAAAAAAATAATAATGTTAACATTATAATGTTCTATTCTTCATGAAATAAAAATGAAGACAGACAAATATGAAGTACTGTAATATCCCTACGACATTTTCTTTGTTCATCAAGCAGTGTTTTCAATATCATGGGCTTGTCGTTCGTATTCAATTTTTATTGCAAAATATCATATTTCCTTTGCAACTAAATTTGGTTTATTGAATTCCATTTTTTATATTCCGTATATATAAAGCCAGCTTTTGTTACCCACGAAACCCGATTGTGCAAGAAAGTGGACCCTCAATAATAGTTTTAACAGCAATGTAAAATATTGTAAACACTAGGGCTGTCATTAGTACCACACAAATACAACATATTGCTCAGTTAACAGGAGGTAAACCAAGGATGATAATCCTCCCCCCCCCCACACCCTCCCTATGGTGTTTATTTGTTTTGTTTTTGCATCATAATCCCTGATATAGACAATGGGACATTCCACTTTTCTCACTTGTAACCTACATGGCTTGGTAATTTGATCAAGGAGCATAACATGTACCTCGAGAATAAGAAATTTGAGGCGAATTTAAAATGGAGTAAATCACAAACGTGATTGCGATTTTGAGATAGTGTAGAATTACAAGGACCAGGCACAACGCGACTCAGGCGGATTGCCCTTGATTGCCCTCAAGAGTCCAGATAAAAGCGTGGAGTAATAATTACTCCAACATGGTGGTATAGGCATGGAGGTATAGTATAGCATAGGCAGACTACAACAAGCAAATAAATGCAATCTCTCCCGTGTCAATAACCTGGACCGAAGCAACACCTTGGCAATTACTTTTGTTGAAGAAGAACCAAATACTGTAAGGCCGGTTTCTAGTCAACATTTCAGTTTAGTCTAGTAGCAGAACTTGCTGCTAAAAAAAAAAGCATTGCTGTTTTTCAATATTTTGCCTTTTAATCTATATAATATATATATATATATATATATATATATATAATATATACATATATATGTATATATATGTATATATATATATAAAATAAAGGATATATATAAAATAAAGGATATATTTGACGTTTCCTAATCTAATAATCATACATTTGTGCACGAATTATTAATTACGGTTACTGCAACCTTTGCACACTTAAGTGGAGCAGACCTATACACACTTTTGCCACTGTCAATATGCACCAGTACATGCAATGCCACAACATCCTTCCAGGTACCCCTTTATACTATGGAGTGGATAGAAACAAATGTACCGTATTGATAAAGTGCCTTGTCGAAGTATGCAAGCGAAATCCACAGCGAGGGTTCGAACCCCGACCTCAGGATTTAGAACTCGATCGTGCATGCTAACCGCAGTTGTTTGAAAGCCTCAGAGTCAAGGCAATGACGTTCAGGAACTTATTCCTTCCTACCAAAATCCGCTACCGGTACTCTAAATATATTTACATCAACAATTGGCATACCTACATTGAGAAGTATGTGTATTTTAAACTCATGTGCTATTAGGTATATTATTTTCTCATGTTATTTCCTGATACGTTGTGCATATTATCTGCTAGAGGTGTTTAACTTGTAAATGTCAATAAATAATAGCAACAACAACAGGAAGGATATTAAATTTTCTCGAAAATCAACGGACGTCTTGAAAATATAATTTTAAAATATTATATATCCTATACATTTCTCCCAGCAAATTATTGCCAGCAAATTTAAGTACGGGTATTACAGTAAAAAGTCTGTAAATCATTTGTTTTTTAATCTGTGACGTATTGAAAATTGACGTTTATTTCATTTTTTTATTGTTTTTTTTTTATAGATGTTTTGGTTCCAGATCTTTACTTAATAATACATGAATATGTAGCAGTACCGCACCGGCATAATGTCTGGTGTTTATGAGCTATTTTATTCGATGATGATATTCATTATAATTATTTTATAAAAGGTAAAATCTGAAGTTTTTCCATTTGCAAGTTATCATACAGATATGTTAAGACGAGATAATGTGACGATATACAAAGTCCAAACATTAGTGTGTATGATAGGCCTATGCAAGGAGGCCTATGGGACACTGGCGATATAATACGCCAGTGAGTATAAACAGGCCTGATACTATAACACATGGTAATATTACATTTCCAATAGACATATCATATCGAATAAGATTTAATTTTTAATGATCATATTTCCATTCGCAATTGAAATTCAATTCCTTAAAATCAGAGATGGAACGCAACACAGTGAATGTTTTTAATTCACGAAGCATAATGCTTAATCAATCTCACTCATTAAGAGGCCTGATCGAATTGAATCTTTCTGTTAATACATTTATAATTATAGGCCTACCACAATGGATATGCTATTTATCGGTACGGCACGGATGAACTAAATTTAGTCTATGTAAAAGTTTGATTTGCCATTTAGCATATATTGTGATGATTAACTACAAAATAAAAAACAATGCATACAGGGCCTAATTACAAAGATTAAACTTCAATACGATCATCTCCTTAAAAACATTATGATTTATACAGTAATAAAACATAAATAATTACTATAGCACATACATCATGAATTATTTATTCAACATAACCTAAATATTATTTTACTGACCTATACAGCATCTTAAAACAAAATAGTGATGGTACCCTGCAACTACAAGATTGGTATGGATATACGTAGTAGGCCCCTAGATATCTTGCTCAATATTCCTTGACATGTTGCACTATTTCCTTGTAGTAGTCGGTTATATCGTCCTTAGTTTCTGTAACTTGGCAGTGTTGTGAGGGCGCACACACACCCAGAAAATATTAATTGCAAACTCGGGCGCCCCACTCCATGGGAACTTGGTGAACACCTCATATCATGTTATTCCCGCACCTTAATTTTTCCATCGGAAAACCAGCCACGTCAATACTCATAGTACAGTACACGAAGCCGTTGGATTGTGGACATAGGAATATGACGAATGATGGAGTTGTTTAGTGTAGCTCCTGGTCAAAATTTGCTTCCCCCATCCCAACTAAAAAATGGTGAGCACTTCATCATCTAATTCTCACAGATGAGCAACATTCCCCCTATTTTTTTTCCATCGGCACCCCCCATGTCAAACTCAGATACGTCACTGTAATCTTAATCTGTCGAATCGTAAAGTTATATGTAGTTTCATGGTCATATTGCTGTTGGCTTGCATATAAATTAATATTCATCCTTCATTTTCACGGTAAAACATTCTGAACATTCCAAATTTTGATTTGCAGTGTCGGTACACCGGAGGCATGTAATTATAATAGGCCTATACACACACGTGAATTAATCGATCGTGGAAAAACTAATGAATGCGTTTTAATTATAGTTCTTCTATGATGAGGCATATTGTTATCACCGGTAATAGGAAAAAGAAAGGAAGCCACTATCAATCAGTTTTACAGTGATATTGGAATATGTCTATATGCAACAGTCACATGGACGGTACTATAAGGCCAAGACGACTAATGAATTACTCTAAATAAATTTCTTTGTCAATGTTTTAGAAGACGAGTTCCTTCCATAGAGATATAATAAGAATACTAGAGCGCTAACAGCAATGTATTCGATGTTCGAAATACGCAGAGCTGTGTGTGTGTACCATCCAAGATGGCTGCCATATATTCAGCCAATCAAATTTCGC